GCCTCCCCCCGCACCCTGCCCCGCTCTTCGAATGGAAAGCCTCACGCTCCTTACTCATAACCACAGACAATCCCCCCTTTGCACTAAAATAAACAAAAATTTTAAAAAGCTCCTTAGAAGTTTTCGAGAATATCTTTACTGACTAAGCCATTCTTCTGTTTTCAGCTGTAAAAACCCAACAGCTTTTTTTTTTTTGATAATAATACTCTTCGACAGTAGGATGGTTCATTCAATTTTGAAATGCTTAGAAGGTTGGCAGCTCTGCAAATTAAACCCCTGGGCTGAAACAGAAGGTCACACCTGAACTGCTTGCAAGGTGTTGCTAGTGAAAAGAACAAAAGCAGAAGCGTGAAGGGGGGAAAAAAAGGAAGGAATTAAAAAAAAAGAGAGTGCAGACAGCCTCGAGCTGCATTCAGCACTGGCAGAGCCACGCAGGGTCTCGGAGGAAACACGGTTTCACTGAATCCATGATAGAAACCAGTCCGTATCCAGCTTCGGCCTCGGCAGAGCCGAAGGAGAGCCAGCCCCCAGCCCAGAAACGGCTACTCACCAGCGCCGGGATCAGCAGGTCAGCGAAGTACACGAAAGCTGCTCCCAGGGCAAAGCCCACGGCCACTGGGAAGAAAGCGAAGGCTCCGAAGGTGCCGGACTCCTCGGCCATGTCGATAGCCGGGGCCAGGAGGGACCAGTAGGAAGCGGCCAGCATGACCTGGGAGGCAGAAGGGGAGCGGTGAGAAGCACGCAGGCAGCGAGGGCGCGAGGATCTGGCACCGGCTGTGGCACGGCACCACCGCCGGCGACCCACCCTCCGGCCAAGGAAACCCCCGCGCTCACCCCGACGAGCTGCGTGACCATTGCAGAGCCATCAAAACCCGCTTCCCGACGGAAAAGAAGTCACTGAAGGATGGAGAAGCGAGGATTTTCCCCTTTTTGACCAAGGGTGCTCATCTGGACTCGAAAGTCCAAGGCAGCAAACGAACCACAGGAGCTCGTTAGGGTGATTTCCGTGGGATTAGCACAGCCACAACAGCCCTTCAAACGGCAACGGCCGCAGCACGAGAGCAGGAAAACCGCTCTCGCCCTGCCCACCAACCCCACCGGCCCCC